ATCCAAACACCAAACTGACCATCTGCAAGTTCTCTTTGCATAACTGTGGCCCGTTTGCCCGTTTGCTTTTGTCACAGCTCGTCGCCTTTTTGACTTCTCCACTCTTTGCCCTCCCGTGCTGCTATCTGTGTTGCACTTGCAACTGCAACATATATAACGGCTGTATGTTGCACGTACTCCAGACGTCGCCCTTTTGTTGGGCCACATAATTTGTCATGTGAAAAATTACTAAAGTTACAAGATCTGCACTTTTATTTCCATGTGTTGTGGCAGCGTTAAGTCCACGCAACGAGTCGAGTCCCCACTGCATGCGTGTGCCACCACCACCCGCAGCAGTGGCAGGGGATCGAGGGGGGTGTGGTGGGGTGGGGTTACTGGATTCGTATGTTGCGCTTGCTGTTTTGCTATTTTCTTGCTGCTCGCTTATATATATTTTATTTTTTTTTCTACTCTTTTTTTCTTTTTTTTTTTCGTTACTATTTTGCACATTTTTCTATTCAACAATGAAGCCACAATAGAAAAACGTCAACTAGCGCTAGGGAAATAGCATGAGCGCGAGGGGGGTGTGTGCGGTGCGGTTGGGGGGGGGGGGGTATGCAAATGTGTGTGTGGAAGCGAGAGGGCAACAAATTTTCTATGTGCATAGAAAGTCTGAACGGATTTTGAATGGCAAACAAGCGGCTAACGGTGGGTAGTCGTTGCGGAGAAGGCGGGGCAGCGGTGAGGCTGGTGCGAGGCGCTTGACAAAGAGCAGCAGAGCTCAGAGTCGCCTCAAACCATCAAGGCTCAGAACCAAAGCCAAAGCCAGAGCCCGGCCAGAGCTGGAGCCAGAGCAGAGCCAGCAGAGAGCCAGGCCCTGAATGGGTGACGACTTGCGCATGAATGACACAAGTGTATAACTGTGTGTGTGTGTGTGTGTGTGTGTGTGTGTGTGTGTGTGTGTGTGTGTGTGTGTGTGTGTATGTGTGTGTGTGCGTAGGTGTAGTGGCTGAGGGTTGAGGATTAGTGGGCGCTTGCAATCTGGATCAGCACTGGGAAAGCACCAAACCCAATCAAACCAAAACTAATATTCTTGTTTTGCAATTGTTAATAATTAATAAGTAATAAATAAAACAATAAATATAAGAAATAATAAACGCTTGGCTTTAACCAGAATCCCAATAAATGTATTCTTTATGTCTACTTTCAGAATTAATTAAAAGTTAAAGTTATTAGAAATTTTCCTAAAATTGGAATGAAAATATTTGTATTTTGTTAAATTTGTAATAAATGTTATTTAAATAAAGACAAACTATGTTCTGCTTTGTAGTCATTGGGCTCTCTATTCATCAGTCTATTTTTAAAATATGAGGTCACATACATATATTTTTCTGAGTGTAGGCTTCGTTTGCAGGTCTTTACAAAAGTGACGTGCGCTTTACAATTATTTCGTAATGCAGGCAAATGCGACCGAGCAATCGAGCCAAGCGAAATAGACCCGCCCAGAGCTGGAGACGGAGGCGGACAGCAGGAGTCGCAGCTGAGTATCTTCTTGAAAGAGAGAGAGATGGAGAGAGAGAGGGAGGGAGGGGGATGCAGCGAGAGAAGGGGGACAGCAACGTCATTGGTGACAAATGTCAGTCGGTGGTTGCACTACTAATCGGACATGTTGCGTTGACTTGTTTATGACTGCCAGCTTAGCACGCATTCACATTCACACACCCACACACACACACACACACTTGAGACATATTTGTGTGTGTGTGTGTGTGTGTTTGTAATGTGTGCGGACTTGTGGGAAATCTGTAAATAGCTGCAAAAACTAGAAGCCATCGTCGTCGCCCAAGAGACAAAGCACTCGTCATCAAAGTTGTTGTTCTTTATGTTGTTGTTGTTGTTGCTGTTGTTGCTGCTGCTGTTGTTGTTGTTGCTGTTGTTGTTTGGCATTGCCCTCGAGAATATCCTCAGACAGCCAGATAGGCAACATCAAACACAACAACAATAAACCGCAATAACAGCGACTGCGATTTTTAGTTGCACGTTGCCCGCGTCGTATGCGTAATCTTAGAATTATTATTATTATCTCTTTTTACAGCAGTTTGGCTTTAAATCACTTTGAAAACTGCTGCTTGAAATTGGACGATGATTGCTAAATTGCTCAACGGATGATACAAGAGAATAATAGTTTTAAAGCAAATGCAACTAACTAAAATGAAAATCGGTTAATGTTCTTCGATTCAGTTTCTGATAGGAATGATATTATAGACACCAATTATCGGTTTGTACTTGGAAAGACAATATGGACATGACTATATCGAATCGGCTGCTGAACAAGTGTATATACCTTATGGTATACCCTCTGCAAGACTATAAAGAAAGATTTCATTTTCCTCTTTGCCCAAAAATTTAGAAGTAAAGTAAAGATGGAATCCATGACAAAAATAAAAGAGATTCGCATTGAACAAGTTTCGATTTTGCCATGTTCTATAAATAAGTTGTGTGCAGGGTGTCTGTCAATCGAAACTGCCCGGCAACTATCGCATTCTTAGTTATTTTGCTTTGCGTTTGGCTTTCGGTTTTTGCTATTTTGTTTGCCATGCCAGGCGGCAATTACGCGTCACGCAGCTGGACGCGATGGCAGCGACGTCGACAGCGGCAGCAGCAGAGCGGCAGCGCGAGTTCCGAGCTCCGAGCTGAGTGAGTTCCGAGCACGCAGCTCGTTCGTTGAGCTGCAGCAGCACATATACACACACACACACACAAACACACGCAAATTGCCAGTGTAGGACAAGGTCGCATTTATTTGGTGCAGCCGCAATTGGGCAGCGCACAACAGTGGATATATTGGACGGGGAGGGAGCTGGGAGTGTGGAGAGGGGGGAGTGCCATGCTGCGCATGAAGGTTACCTGCAGTTCGCCCACTCACACACAAAAACACACACACACACACGCACACCCATCAAGAGAGAGACGTTGACAGAGATGCTGAAAAATTATGAAATGAATACAAATATTTTGCGGATCAGTGGGACGATGCAATGTTGCAAACACATACACACACACACACACACACACACACATATGTACCACAAGTAGAGTCATCGCCATTGAATGTTCGCCTTCAATGGGGCATCATTTGGGGCGACAAAGTGCAAATCAAATGTGATGGATGATCTCAATGTTGAGCACTATTTGTTGCACTGCACACAAATCACAAATCAAACGCACGCATTCTCCACCCAAAAAAATGCAAATGAAAAGAAATGTATGAAAAATCGTAATAAAATTTGAAACGCCGCATGAATAATTCAGCTGCAAGCTGAATATATTGAAAATATTAATATATATATCTATCTATCAATCTGCTATTTGTGTAAACAAAACCAGAAACGGATACTGCATTCAAGCTTTAAAATACATTGATATCTAAATGCAGCATAATTGGTTGATGGCAGGCCGAAGTGCACCAAAAAGTATAAGCGTATTTTAATTGATTGCAGCTGCAACATTTTCAATTGGAAATGGTTTGAAGTGAACCTTTCTTACTTACTTCGATGCGTGACATTTTATATTTATTCATTTTTAATGGGATCACGGTGTAAGAACCTGATTTCCTATTTAATGTTTTCCATTTGGCTTATTCGCATTTTACTTTAATCAATTAAAAATTGCTCATTAAATTCGCAAATTAATCACGACGAAATCAGTTGGTTTCTTAGCCAATTCATTGGCAATTAAATGTCAAAGCTTTAATATTTGAGTTTAAAGTTATTCGAGCGTAAATGAAATAGTTTTTTCTGTAGGTTTTTGTTGTTGTTCTTGGCTAACTGTGAGCATTGCTTGTGGACGGTTTCTAGAGTTTTCCTTTTGGCCCAAAACTATTGCGATAGACTGATTAATGACAAATTGTGCGGCATGGAACCAACTGCAAATGGTTAGACCCATTTTCACACTGGCCACCATCCAAGTCATTTAAAGCGTTTGCAGGGCCTACATAAAAAGTTTGTTGCCACTGCACCTAAGCAACCCAGTCTGCCCCCTCTGTAGCCTCCCCGGTTTGGACGGTTTTTGTTGTTGACGCTTCTTCCGTTCGCTGGTTTAGTTTTTCTTTTCAGCTTACTTGCCGTTCTGTTTGTTGTTGTTGTTTCTTGTTGTTTGCTGTTGTTGCACATTTTATTAACATTTTCATTTAGTTTTAGTTGCATTCGCCCTCTCTCTCTCTCTCTTGCACTCACGTGTCCTCTTTCTCATTCACTCTCTTCTCTGGTTTTATTTTGCTTTTCATTGCAAATTTGTGTTTCTATGCATTTTTGTGTGTGTTTTACATTCGTTTTCGTGTCGTTGTGCCGCCAAAACCACCCAAAGTCCACGCCGCCCCTATAACCTCTACCCCCTCAAACCCTTGCCTAACCCTTTCCCTCTCCACCCTCCACCCTTCGCTCCGCTGTGCAACATTGTTGTCACTGTTGCGCTCTTTTGCAGTTTGTTGAAGTTTTCATAATCATTGTCGTCGTCGTCGTCGTCGTCGTTGTTGCAGTTGCAGTTGCCGTCGCAGCCTTTTGCTTTTGTTTTTGCAATCTTCTTTTTGCTTCTTTCTTTCTATTTGTTTTATTTTATTTTTTTGTATAAGCCGACGTCGCTTTTGGCTGGGTCTGGGAGATTTTCCTGCATGAAAACAATGCCGGGAAAGCGGCTTATTTTCTATGATTTAAATAATGACGAAGACAACAGTCAGCCAGCCACCTTCAACTGTGGCTGCAACTGCTGCCTGTTGATGATAATGCCCCAGATTTTGCTCATAATCATCTCGATCGTAATGATGTTGATGTCGACAATGGCAGATGAGACGTCATTGATATAACATAACTCAGACGGTTGTTTGCTGTGGCTTCTTAGCCAGTCCATAATATAAACATTTATCTTTTTAGTATATGTATATATATATATCTCTTATATATCTATTATATCTATTGCTAATGCCTCTGTCTGATGCATTCTTTTATTTTCTTGGCTCGTTACAGCAAAATGTTCATTGGCGGCCTCAGCTGGCAGACCAGTCCAGGTAAGTCTTCTTGCCCCACTTCTACATTGAATACTAAATCTCAAGAAATTAGTCGAGTTGCGCGAAAATTGCCAATGCCAACCAGTAATTAGCATTTATATGGTTATATATTTCTATTCATGGGCTCACATCGCTATGCTAACCAGCTGGCCTCACATTAAGCCCTAATCTTTCATGTGAGCTCTGGAAAACATGCGATTTATTTCGAGTGAAAGCTGCATCTCTTTCAAGCATTTCCCTTTCGGATAGGTTGTGAGTTGAAATAGTTTTCCCTTTGTTGCGCAAAGATTCCCAGAGATGCAGAAAAAAACCATATGAAATATTTATATCTGCAAGATTACAGGGAAATCTGTAAAATTGCTACTCGACATACAAGAAAAAAATCATTTTTAAATTCAAAACTTGATATTTTGAATATGATTTGTGATTATACGCTGAACCCATTAAAAAGGAGAAAAATTGTATAGCAATGTTGTGTAAGAGTATGGAACAGGCAGAATGATGCGATTATGATACAAGAAAGTATATACATATAGTTATGACCTTCTGTCCATCTGTATAAACAAGCCGATCTCAGTTGCTATGAGAGGAACTTCAAAATTCGTAGACTTAATTATATCGATAGCTGTCCCCGTTTCGCGTATATCGATATAAATCGTTAGGAATACAAGATATAGTCGTGAAGATGTACATTGGATCAAATACATATTTCAGAATAGACCAGATCAGATTAGAAATGCAGTCTTTGCCAAACCAAAACGTCTCTCCAAGTCGAGCTCTCGCGACTAGAGCATTCTTATCGCGCTTTATTTTGTTTGGTTTGATTAATTTATTTAGAGTGTGGCCCAATTCAATTATGCAACAATATATGTCGAGTCTCCCACAAATATATACAAATATACGCATCTCTATTTGAATGCTTTAACAAATTGATTCATTATGCATTTGAGTTGTTTATTTGACGATCGAATACGATGAACGACGACGGCGACGGCGTTTTGTTTAAATTGAAATTGTAATTGATAAAATGCTTGAGATTTTGTTGCCTCGCCAATACAACGATGACGAAGACAACAACAACAATAACAACAACAGCAACGGCAACAGAAACAATAACAACAACAGCAACAGCAACAACAACGCCGACGACAGAGCGTCGTAATTTGACGTCAATTGGCGGCAGTTGCACAAATGTAAGAAACTAAAGAAACTAAAAAAAATGGGCATCAACTGGGTGTACATTGAAAGGGTGGTGGGAAAGGGAGGGGAATTGGACTGGCTTGTGCCGCATAGTTTCATTAGGCTAATCAAAAGGCGGCTTCGCTCTGGGCACATATTAACCAAATTTGATGATGCCCCCAAAAAGGGCCACTCAAAACGCTGGCCAAAAAACATCTGAAATAAAAGCTAAAAAAGAAGATAAAAAACGAGGAGAGGAAATAAAAGCGGGGAAAACTGCAAGATGCCTTTTGATGCCCGGCCTGGCCAACTTCGAGTGTTGCAGTCTGTGCTGCTGCCGCCAACACATCCACCGCCGCATTGCTAAAGCGCGCACACACACACACACACACACACATACATAGAGGAAAACACTCATATAGATACAGTCAGCCGCATTGCCTTTTTGTGTTGTTGTCGCCTGTTTGTGTTTTTGTTTAGCGAATTTGTTGGCTCCGCCCATCATCAGAATGGCACTAGGCATTACGCTAACATATTATAACCTATAGCGCATATCTACACACACACACACACACACACATACACACTTATGTCGTTCATATATGCCGCAATAGTTGAAGAGTCAATGCGGTCTTTGGGTTTGTCTCTTTATTTCGACTTTTTGCTGTTGTTTTCTGAATTTCTGTTTTTTTTTTTTCTTTCTGTTTTTGTGTTCGCGTTCACGTTTTTTGTACCTGTGCCAAAAAATGTTTTCAAATTTTCGAATGGCTTCTTCAATAGTGGCCCCAACTTGAAATTGGCGAATGTGCTTTTTATTCTCTGCTGCTGCCCTCTCTGCCCTCTGTTATCTTTTACCCATTTTGGTGTGTGTGTGTGTGTGTGTGTGAGTCTTCAATCTTTTTTAATTTTTATTGTTTTCTTCTAGATTTTTTTGCAGTTTTTTTTCTTTTTATTTTCTTGCAGTCCGTTTTGACTTTTGGCATTTGCTGGCTGGTTGGCTTGGAAAATTAGCCAAATGTCTTGTTTTAAATTAAAGACTTGCCCACGGTGCTCAAAGCAAATAAGAAACACCTTTAATAGCATGCTGCAAAGCAACTTATTTCGAAACTCTCAAAGAAAGTAAGAAATTTGCTAATTTAAATGTAATTTCAAAAAGACTACAGGCTTAAACCGATTTTGATTGAGATATGAGCAGGTTTTAAAATGCATTATATTTTGATTCAATAAAGGGTTGCGATCTGGTTAGGAGATCAATTAAAAATGGTCAGAAAATGTATATGAAATCGGTATAAAATGGTTGTACAACAATTATTTGCAAAGGTTGCCTTAGTTACAAGATTATTGCAAATTGTAATGGGAAGTTTGAAACGGTTTTGATAAGTTTGTAACATTTTCGAAACGGTTTTAAAGCACTTGAGCCACTGACAGCTCTGACAAATGTAGTTCTTTTGTGAACCGGTCATTCAACGATTATGCCCTTAGAGCACTGTTCAAGCACACACACCACACACATACTACAAACACACTACACCCACTCAACACAGTCGCTAACAACTTCCACAATCTGCGATCATGCAACGCTTTCAAGCTGCGGCTGCCGGCAACTTTTGGGTGTGCCCTGCTTAGACTCGCTTTGAGCCCGGGCCAGGAACCTTTTTGGACGCACTGTCGCAGTTGCAGTAACGGGAGTCGCTTGTGGCCGGAAACAGACAGTCAGAGACAGAGGCACAGACAGAGACAACAAGAGTCGGCTCAGCAGCTTTGAGGCATTCTCAAGTGGCAAACCACTCTCGCCAAAGCTTATGCTTTTGGATTTTTTCCAGCTATCGCTACTCGAGCACACCCACCCATACACACACACACACATAGACACAGTGGATACTCGAAAAGTGCTGACAAAGACCTAATCTAGGGCGTCTATAAACATGTTGCACCCACTGCCACTTCCACTTCCAACTAATAGTTCGAGGCTGCTGTCTTAGACAGGTCGTCGTCGGCAACGTACGTGTTGATAACTGCATAGATGATGAAGAAGCCGAGAACGCAGCCCCCCTTGAACGTTGCACCCGCTCCTGCCCCAAACATCCGCATTGCAGTACGCGGCTCTCACTCTCTCTCTCACTCCCTCTTTGTCTTTATTGGCCCCCTCTCTAGATTTTTAATGATTGGCACGATTGTCTTGGCTACTTAATGATGTGCCCAAGTGCGACTAACCAGACCTCCTCCTCCCTCATCCGCCCACCCTTCATGGTTTGTGTCATTCATTTTTGTGTCAACTAGGCAAAGAGCATAGAGACTTCTCACATGCTGCATAACTTAATGAACTTTTCACCCCAGTGCCGAGCAGAGCAGAGCCAAGCAGAGCAGCAGCAGCTGCTGCAGTAATTTAATTTTAATTTCGCAAGCAGTTTACTGAATTGTAATTGTGTGCATTGAAAATGTATTTGGCTGCTATCGCTGGAAAACACTCGACGACGACGACGACAACAACAGCAGCAGCAGCAGCAGCAGCGACAACAATGCGGATGAGTTCAAAATCAGACAGGCAGACAGGCAGACAGACAGTCAGTCAGTCCGTCAGCGTTTGTCAGTTTGTTCAATTCATAGAAATAATACATCCATATACTCAAAACTCACACATTTCTTTGCACCGCAGATTTGTGTGTGTGTGTGTGCGTGTGTGTGTGTGTCGACACACAAAAATTTTTGTTGAAATACAATACTTATGCCATGGGCAGAAAGGCAAACGTCTTCCCGCCTCCTCTATTTGCTTCACGCTATTTTGACTGTGCGTTCAACTGAAATACTATTTATACATGCGCTCAGATACGCAGATACATTTGCATCTGCAGCAGCAGCAGCAGCACCACCATTACTCATGCAACAAATTCGTGTATAACATATAACAAAAAAGAAGAAAACAAATAGAATCAAAGGAGCCCAAAAAACAAATGGGAAATCTATGCACATATCGCTCACATTTCGATGCCGCTTAGCGATAAAGTCAACCAACTAAACTCAGTTTCAAATACACAGCTACAGATACAGATACTTTGCGCAAATAAATATGCAGCCGATATTCACGTTTGCCGCTATTTGTTTTGCTTGTTTGTTTATCTGTCTGTCTGTCTGTCTCTCAGTCTGTCTGTCTGTCTGTCTGTCTGTCTGTCTCTCTATCGGTTTGTCTCATGCAAATGAAAATGGAGCCAGCTTGTAAGGCAGCTGCTTTATTTGTCCATAGCATTACCTACGACTTGTTTTCTTTTGTACAATAATGCCGCACAGCTTTTTGACTGTAAGTAACTGACAAAAATGGCTCAGAATTCAAGTTAAGATCTAAAGGATCATCAAGGAAAGTGCCAAAACTTTCGAGCGCCACAACTTTGTCAATGTTTCTGGATCATGGTGTGAACTCTAGACTAAAGCAAATATCTTTCGGATTACGATTAAGCATTAAGATTCTATATTTACTTATTATGAAAGCCCAATTCTCGGTAAATATTAATTATATGATTACAGTAAATAAATTAATTTCTGCAAATATTTAATTTAAATTCAGTTATGATTTTGATATAGTTGCAACTGTGAACTAGAAATTGGTATTAGATTTATTTGGAGAGTCCACTTTGTCTTTTATACAATTACAATTTCTATTGATGAAGGGGGAAACGGAAACGGGCAATCGTGCAAGCGGCGGAATTCAATCAGGAAACGAAACGATGATGAAAATATTTGCGTGACATTTTTAAAAATCTTTGCGTCTAAAAATTGTTGAAATATCCTGGGTTCGCTTCTGCGACTAAGCACATCAGGATGCAGAC